AGTACTTTTTACCTTATTCTGTTTTATTTAGTACGAATTCACCGTTGAATGAGGTTTATTCTATATATATTAAGCTTGTCTGTCCCATCTTCGGTGTCAACTTCGTCCAAAATCGCCCTATACATTTTACTCGTATAGAAAATTGATCGGAGATTGGTTCAACTTAAATAGATAGATATTGCGTTTACCTGTTGTTCGCTTGAACTTATCAGTCATGGTACATTATTTTTCTCTCACAAAAAATCAGCCAACAGTACTTTTCAGCCTAGCTTTTCAGCGACACGAACGGCGCTTTTTGCAGCTTCAACTCAAATCAGAACAAGTGAGAGCAAGGAATGCTAAATAGAAGCAGCTTCAACTCAAATCAGAACAAGTGAGAGCAAGGAATGCTAGATTGAAGGAAGATGGGTGGGTGAGTGATACTTAGAATAACAAGCAAATTTTAACAATCTAACCGTGAAGGAGATAACAAATAAAATGGGACTTGTGGCCTTGAGACGCAACCTACAAGGATGACTGTACTCAAACCTTTTTTTCCCTTTTACTAATATACAAAGATGTACCACTATTTTTTCTTTGGTTTTTGCTGATAAAACAAAGATGTACCACCTTCCCTGTATATATGTGAGAAAACTTAGTGAAGGTCAAGCTCGTCCATTTTCCAATGGGCCAATGGGCCTGCTTTCGCGGTGCCCATCGACCCGTCCATTTTCCATCATTTTACAGGCCTATGAGGAAACAGGGCGGGACACGTACTCTTTGTAGTTGCTTCGGCCCATAGAGCTGTGTTTGCCCAGAAGCAGAAAGTATGGGCCTCTAGCGACAATCTTCGTCTGCGAAATTTAATGTTGTGTGTTTGCTTTGCGTCGCTGATGGAGTCCTAAACATCTGTTCCAGAAACTGTCCAAGCTTAGTAATCTGTACACGGTGCATGATGCCTTATGTGCGGAATCAGAGGCCTGCATTGCAGCCTTACAAGCAGCCATACAATATGGTTTATCACGGATCATCCTAGAGACGGATTCCCTATCTCTGGTAAGAGCTCTCTGAACCAGCAGTAACTATGATCAAGCTCCGGGTGATTGCTTCGTCCTTCATTGAGGTCGTGATCGTCCATTCTAATCGCTCTTGTAACTCGTATGCTCACGATTTAGCTCGCTCTAGTGTGAGTTGGGACCCGTGTGCCAGTCTGTGATATGGAGCGACCCCCTCCTAGACTTTGTAAACAATCTTGTGGTTCATGATTTTGCTAAACCCCGTATGAACAATGAATGAGCGGGCGCTTGAAGTTTCAAAAAAAACTGCTACCGCTACATATCTCTTCATTCGCAGCTCATCGCCATCCACAGCGGATTGAGATGGCGTGTAGCCTTAGCCCTCGGATAGTCGGATGCTAAGTTTATCAGTTGTCACGGGAGGGCAATCTTACCCTGGGCTCGATTGGTCCGGCTGGGTCGGTGAATCTGAACCTGCGATCGGTCTCGGCAGGGTAGCATCGGTGACCTCTTCGGGTTTGGAACTCTAATGTCAAGCAATCCAAGGATGGTGCCGTTTGTCCCTGAGAGATCAAGTATTTTTCTTTGAAGGATATTTTTATCAAGTTTGAGATGTGAGATGCCAAGCCACATTGTTCACTCCCATGGTGCAGTCCATATATAGCTCTTTTTTTTAAATGAACAAGGCAGAAGGACTGCCTGTTGTATTAAAAAGAAAGTGAGCCAAGACAGGCTAGAACAAAATTGTACAAAAAACTATACAAAGGAGTGTAAAAGAAAAACTCTCAGTGTCTGCCTATCAAAATTGCTAGATGTTTCCCTCCAGCCATAATCCACATCCCGCTTTCATCTTTTATTTTCTAAAGTAGCTGATTATGAGGTAACTCTTTGTGATTGAATATTCGGTGCATTTCTTTCATTCCAAATTTCCCATGGAACTAAGATGATCATAGAACGCATTCCTTTCCTAGAGTGGCATGGTACGGCTGATAGGGAGGTCCACCATTGATGAAGCGATTGACTTGCGACCGGGGAAGGCAAAAAGAGGCCACTGAGTCCTATCGAAGCAGCAAGTTCCTCCCGAATACGCATGGAGTATCTGCAATGGCGAGAAGATGGAGGACAGTTTACGGCTCTCTCTACGACAGAGGGGCAAACAACGTTGTTGGGCCAACCTCTACCTGGAGCCTATCTGCCGTCAAAGTCTATTTTGGATGGCGAGCCATCCAAATAATTTGCATTTAGGTGGTTCCCAAACCTTCCAAATGAGTGTGCCAAAATTGGTTGTTGTTGACCCTAAGAATTGGGCTCTATAAGCTGAGTTTACAGAATATTCACCATCAGCGGTGCTGCAATATTGCCACACGCCATATTGCCACGTACTCGATAAAGTGTTGTCCATTGAAGCCACAGTGCTGCAAGTTAAGATCCTTGATCCAGTTTTGATTTTGAGTGGCAACATAAAGGGATCTATTTTTTCTTTTAGAAATTTTGAAGAGGTTTGGCGCAATATCTTTTAGCCTTTGTCCTTGACTCCAGGCCCCATACCAAAAGGAAGTTTTCTTGCCATCCCCAATGGTAATCTTTGTTGCAGCTGCAAACATGAGGCGGTCAGTTCTGTTGTAGGGGATTTCTGACCCCCACCCAGGGCTTATCGCTTGACTTCCATTCATGCCACAACCATCGAAGCCTAAGGGCCGTAGTGAACCTTCCCAAGTGTAGGTTCCCCAGGCCTCCAGAACACGTTGGCCTTCTTGCACGGCTCCAATTAACTTTGCATTTTCCACCGGTCAAAGCTTTAGAACCGGCCCACATAAATTGTTTCCTCTTATTGTCAATTTCATCTAGCACCTCCTTGGGTGCCTGCAGGGCTGTGAGCTGGTAAACCGGTTGTGACGTGAGCACCGATTTGATCAGCGTGAGTCAACCTGCTGGAGTTGTGTTTTTTCCATTCCAAGAGATAAATTTGCTAACTGCCTTATCGACAAGGAATTGAAGGTCCACACGCCGTAATCGCGTAGTGGTGAGAGGTAAGCCCAGGTACTTGATCAGAAAGTGCACTCGTGTTGCTGGGAGGTCAGCAATGGAGCACCGTATTGGGACTACTGTGGACTCCTGAAAGTTTGTTAGGAGACCTGTTGCCTCACTGAATCAAGTAAGAATATTTGCCAAGGTGGAGATGACTTTCTTTCGAGGATTGATGAAGAGGGATGTATCGTCAGCGTACATGGAGGTTCTAATGTTGTGTGTGTGTCCCCCTTAACTTTCTTAGAATGGCTCTCTGTTGCTAAGTCCAGGAGGCGTCGCAGCGGGTCAATGGCGATAACAAAGAAGAGCGGTGAGAGGGGGTCGCCTTGCCGTAGGCCTCTGCCATGCTTCAGAGGGGTGCTGGGGACTTCGTTGAGCAAAACCCGAGAGGTGGAGGTGGCAAGGAGTGAGGCAATCCAGTCCTGCCATCTTGGAGGGAAGCCTAATCGCTGGAGAAGCCTTCGCAAATAGTCCCATCTCACTGAGTCGAACGCTTTAGTGATGTCCAGTTTAATGAAGAGGGCAGGGATGTTGTTTCTATGGAAGCTTCTGGCTGTGTTTCGCACAACCATGAAATTGTCATGGATGCTTCTCTTTTTAGTAAATGCACTCTGTGTAGGCGGCACTATGGTCTTCATGTACGGAGCAAGTCTTAGGGCCAGAGCTTTGGCAATGATTTTGGCAAATGAGTGAATGAGGCTTATGGGCCTCCTACAGTCTGTCACATAATCAACGCCCTCTTTCATTGGTATTAGCACAATGTTGGCCGAGTTTAGAAGTGGTAGGCTCGAGATCCGTAGATTGTGGAAAGCAATCACCGCCTCCATAAAATCGCCTTTTATCACATCCCAACATGCTCAAAAAAAAAGCACCATATAGCCGTCCGGGGCCTAGCGCTTTGTCGGTGGCATTTGGAAAATGGCGATTTTGATTTCGATCCTCGAGAAATGATCGCCGAGCGAGTGAAGGTCGAGCGCAGGCTGGTCAAGGTTGTCCCAATTGAGATCTGGTATGCGTTCTATGGGGCGCCCCATTACAACGGCAAAGTGATCACGAATTACTTTTTCTTTGTCCTCGTGGTTGAAAGCCCATCCTTGACCCTTTTTCAACCGTTGGATATGGTTCTTTCTTCTCGGTCGTTGTTCCTATGGTGGAAGAATTTTTGAATTTGCGTCTCCCGACTTGAGGTTCATGACCCGTTAAGCTTGCTTTTTCCTAGCTCTGCTCTATCACCGCAAGTCCTAGAACTCTCCGCTTTAAATTTGTTCCATATATCCCGACGAAGATGGTGATTTGGTTGGCCAAAAAGCATGATGTCCCCATTTTGCATGACCTTATGATGGCTATGAAGCTAGACATACATTTCACACGTATCCGAGGTTCTCGACGATCGAAGCTCCTTTTCATCTTCCCCAAAACATTGCCCCTGCTATCTGCATGCAGGATAAGGGGCCATCGATGGGGCTCAAGCCCACCCTACCATTCGTTGGTTGGCCATGCAGCCCCTTGTGATTCCAAAAAAAAATTAGGAATAGTGGAAAACAGGAAGAAGAGATTAAAGACATTGTGCCCTGCTAGAGTTTGAAGATGTGCACCCCACCCCTTTGCCCCCACCAATCAATTTTTAGGAGTAGAAGAGAGGAAGAAGAGATTAAAGACGTTGCTCCCTGCTAGAGGTTGAAGATAATCCCTCTTCCCTGATTTTTTTGTTTGTGTTCCGCCATTGCATGTAGGTTTGTAAGAATGGGTAGTAGAACCAACATAGAAAAAATTATTATGCACATCCATTGCAGATAAAGGTCCAGAGCTACACTGGTTACCTTGTATGCAAACATCAAAATACAAAGTTTAGTGTTTACATGTCATTAAAAATCACAATGACATTTAATTTATTCAAACAACATGAAGCATACATAGTATTTTTTTAAATATAGTAAAACAGAGAGTAGTTGGAAGAAATAAGATGAGTTGATGAAATCAAACCATATCAAGGAGCTCTGGCTTGAATGTTTTGCCCAGATGAATTCTAAGCTTCAAGACAGGCCAGTCACCTAGTAGCTTCGTAAGAACGGGCAGTAGAACCGACATAAGGCAAATTGTTATGGCCAACCATAGGAGGCGAGGGGCTAAAACTGTGTATAGACCTGTTGCAAATGCTGTGGTGGTTGCTATGTAGCCAACCCACATAAGTTTCTTAGTAAAGGATCTGTAATGAAGCAAAAACTCAAAGTCCTCCCATCTTGCTATTATGGATATGAAAGCAACAGCCAGCGAGGAGAACATTGCCAAGGAATCAGAGATCAAGAATGCCTGGAATGCAATCTTTCTTGCCATGATGGGTAGCCCCTCACTTCCAGCATCATTGCTATATCCTCCAGGCAAGGTGAAAGCAGCAGCAAAGGTGATTGTTGCAATGAGGATTGCCACTAAAGAAGTGTAGCTTGTATATGTCTGAGTCAATGTCTTTATATCCTTCCTTGATTCAGAAGTTACTTGATCCTTGGTTTGCTTATGAAGGTTATAAGTATCATTTGCTGCTTCAGGATCAGCTTTCAGCATAAGCATGCAGACTTCATTCTGCAAGGTCTCAAAGAAAGGTATGTGTGGAGCACACATCAGCACAATACTCAAAAAAGAGAATATTCTACCATTGTGTCCGCTAGTTAGTGGTAGCAAACTGTTTTTCTCAGGTGCTGATATATTTCTGTTACAATGTTTTAATAGTATCCTCTTGTTTAAAATAGAAGGCTACAGAGTACTTATTCATTTTGACAACCATATATCTTTAGTTGCTTACCTATCTGTCATTGATTTCAACAATTTAATGGTGCATATCTTGCGGTGGTTGTTGATTTGAACATGGTCATTTGTTTTTTTCCCCTCTAAAAAGTTTGTATGGATCGTTTATTAATGTGCACAGGATAAGTTTCCAGACTGCTATGCAATATATGTAAACGTTTAATCATTCGTAGTTGTATAAGTCCATAAGTGTCCAAATATACTCATAAGATATTAACACCCTCTATCTTGCAAATTGTTAAAAATTACCAAAAAAAAAAGGAAAGAAAATCAGCCTGCTCTGCCCCATAGTTTTTATTATATACTTAGATATACACTGTGTCTAGATATATAGTAAAAGTATTTAGAAAACCAAAACGCCGTACAGTTTGGAATGGAGGGAGTATAAGTTTGTAACCAAGCAGTATAATAAAACACTACCTCCGTTGATTTTAAAAAGATACTCCCTCCATCCCAAAATTAATAAATCACCCGAAGTCAATTTGACCAACTTTATAGTGAAGAATAACAAAGCTTATGATACCAAATAAGCAGATTATAAAAATATATTTAATGGAATATCTGGTGATGCTAATTTGATGTCATAAGCATTGGTGGTCTTTTTTTTATAAATTTGGTTAAATATAAAATAGTTTGACTTAGGACAATTTTTAGAAGTTGATTTATTTTGGAATAGGAGAGTATACTAGTATCAAGTAGTAGTATTCAAACGTTGCAATGATTTTGGCAAAAGTATAGTTTTATACCATTCTTTTGTTCATTTCTATGGAGGCAATGCCATTGGCACATTAAACGCATGAAAGATAATAGTAATGCATTTCATCAAAGGGTAAGGCCAGTCTTAAAACAAGGACATGGAACAACATCTCTCAATCCAAAGTTTCATTCACTGTTTCATATGCTATCTATACGCTGTAGCATTTAATTCTTGAATGGTATTGTTATATCAAATGTGCCATATAAACAATATAGTCACTTGCATACTACATATACATATAATTTAAGTATTAGCATAAAAATGTCAAAAGTTTAGCATATGATATAAGAAAATATATAATAGAGTCACATATGCAAAATAAAATACATATAGCGTATGGTAAATATGGGATGCGCGGTGCACAGCGAGAATGCAAGTCAGACAAGATGGGCAAAAGGTAAGGGGTGAGGTTTCGTTGGAAAAACAATGCCAGCCGGGTTTCGTGAGGATGAAAAAACTCATCTCCTCTTTCCTCTTAATTGTTATGTCACATCATCATTTATACAGTTAAAACTCCAAAATCTCACATCATATATATGGAAGACTATGTTAAAAACTGTGTGTTACTCCAGGTATCAACTATACATGTTTCTTCATTCTCATAAGACATATAAACTATTATTATAAATTTAATTTGTTCATTCACCTTTTTGATTTGGGACTTTAGGTGGCACGTCCGCAGCGAAACTCTCTCCTATACACTGGTCAATACAGCGATGGGTGGCATTTGGCCATCAATCTCCCGAGCTCCTCTTTACTTTTCTAACACGCGTTATTTATTACATATTCACACTAGCCATGAAGAAACAAGGATACCAATAATACCTGGCTGTTGAATTGAATATGGCCGCTATAGCATGGACGCCAATAGATGATCCAGCAGCCACTTTTACGCACTCAAACTATTAATTTTTTCTCAAAACAAGTGAGGAGGCCACAGGGTGTTACAACGGATTAATCTTCTCAATATGAGAAAGAGGCTAGGCAGGCAAGGAACATATGTCACTCGCAGGCTCGCAGCACAGCCTTATTATATAAAACCGATCGACAAGTAAAGCAGTGAAAGGGAAAGGGTAAAAGAAAAGGAAAAAATAAAGATACCTAGATGGCTAGATTACTAGAACAAAGCAAAGAATCGATTACGCTTAGTTGTGATCTGTTACGTGATAAACATATACGGTTTTCAAGCATGGTGAAGTAAATGAAAAGATTATCCTGTCCTTTAAAAACACGAAAAGCGTATGCATGATCTAGAAGTGACGTTATGTGGTCTCCGAATTTTAATTATGACGACAATTTTTCTTAGAAAATAGCTGTAATGTTAGATAAGTACTACTGTGAGACAAAAGTCCTTTCAATATAAATCTACCCCTATAATTTTTATGTCTCGAACAAAATGTTTTTAAAATTATTAAGTGTCGAAGTTCCATATGTTTAACCAGTTGGTCAAAATAAGTACTATTTGTTATCGGAGGTGCGCAATCTTCGGTTTCACTAGCTAGCTGCCCAATGCCGTCGCGTCACCTAATCCTATGCAACGCCCGCCTACGCCTTGCCGCCGCTTAAGTAGGTCGCTGGGAAGCCCAGTCAACTCCAAGGGCAGTGGCGGCTGGGTGAGCCTCCTTCCTTATCCTAGCATTTTTTTCCTACTCATCTCTTTCCTCTCCTCTTGTTCCGGCAACGACTAATCGGTACGGTATCAGCCCAATTCGCATGGGCGTCTCACATACTATGGTGGGATTCGTGTAGATCAGGTGGTGAACGGATTAATCTTCTCAATGTGACAAAGAGTCTAGCTAGGCAGGCAAGGAACATGTCACGCGCTGCATAGCCTTATTATATATGCAACCGATGGACAAAAATAAAGCAGTTAAAGGGAAAGGGTAAAAAGAAAAAGAAAAAAGGGGAAAAAATAAAGATACCTATATGCCTATCTAGATTACTAGAACAAAGCAAAGAATCGATTACTACGCTTACAGTAACAGCTAAAGTTGACATATACGTAGTAGCTAGTACGTGCTAGCTAGTCTGGTCCCAGTGACTCAAATCCATATGCTTCACATATATTATAAATAAATATTAACTATAAAGGACATGCATGTAAAAAGTGGGGTTAGTTGCTCAGTACTGTTGTGATCTGTTCGATCTACGTGATAAACATATACGGTTCAAGCATAGTGAAGTAAATGAAGAGATTATCCTGTCCTTTTTAATAAAACACGAAAAACATATGCATGATCTAGAAGTGACGTTATGTGGTCTCCGAATTTTAATTATGACCACAATTTTTCTTATCATAAAATAGCTGTAACGTCAGGTAAGTACTACTGTGAGATAAAAGTACTTTTCAATACAAATCTACCCTTATAATATTTATGTCTCAAACAAAATGTTTTTTAAATAACTAATAAGCGTCTAAGTTCCAAATGTTTGACTGGTCAAAATAAGTAATACTCCATCAGTTCCAAATTATAGGATGTTTGGACTTTTCAATATACATAGCTTTTGCCATGCACTTAAATATACACTATGTCTAGATATATAGCAAAAGCAATATATCTAGAAAAGTCAAAACATCTTATAATTTAGAACGGAGAAAGTATTTGTTATTGGAGGGGCACAATCTTTGGTTTCACTATCTAGCTGCCCAACGCCGCCTTGTCACCTAATCCCATGCAACGTCCTCCTATGTCTTGCCACCACTTAAGTAGGTCGCCGGGAAGCCTAGCCGATTGCATGGGCATTGGCGACTGGGCGAGCCTCTCACTCATCCTAGCATTTTTCCTACTCATCTCTTCCCTCTCTTCTTGTTCTGGCAATGACTAATCGGCATGGTATCTAGCCGAATTCGCATGGGCACCTCACATACTATGGTGGGATTAGTCTAGATCCGATGGTGAACGGTACAATTCTCGATGGTCGGCTTGGTGGCAGTGCTTCCCTCCACGTCCATGGAGTGCATCAGTCACGGCAACGTAGTTGACCTCGCCTGCATGGGTGGTTACCGACACCTTCCCCGCGTGCTTGTTCCTGGCACGGTCTGTCCCCGATTGTCCTTATTAGTTGTCACAGGTGTAATTCGATGATCTCGGCTGAGCACGACATGGCTAGAGCAACCGGAACTTAAGGCCTGATTGTTCGGCGCCGATGTGGTATGGGACACCCTTCATCATCTTCGAGCTTTTGGTGTTAGGTCCTTGGTGTTTGGTAACGACGTGGTATGAGACATGCTTCGTCAAGGTTTTGCTGTGGTGGGTTGGTCTACGCTGGCGAAAGCTGTGCTAGTCTCTATGCCAGCCTTGATGTCAATAGCGCCTTTGGTCTATTAAGCCTTAAGTGGCCCACCTTTGTTACCTGAGGCCCAGCCGCTACCACGTCTCGGCCCACTACCATTCTTGGATTCACAGTATATAATAGAGGAAACCCTAGTTGAGATCACATTTCTCTCCCCCCACCACACGTAGCCATGGGCCGCCTCACATTTCTCCCATCCCCTTCCCCGTCCGCGTTGTTTAGTTCTCTCCCCACAGCCGCTCCCCTTCTACCGTCCCATCTCCCACTGGCAAATCGAGCAGGAGGCACGACACATCTAGCAAGCGGCATGACACGTCGTGCAGTGCTCGGGTATGCCCCTCTTGGCTACGACGCATGGGATGTCCCATTCCTAACGGCAGCGCACTGGTGTGGCCCCAGTCCACTTTAATTTCACTGGTGGATGTGAGCGCGAGGGCTAGGTGTAGCGGCACGGACCAACTTCCTCTCCTCTCAATATCGCTCACAGGCATGGACACACCTCTAAACCTTTCTCTCTCTTGCTTGTTCTCTATCTCTGGTGCGAGGATGCAACAAGATAGGTGAGGATGCGATGGGTCGAGGCAAGGATATGACGATGTGCAAGGGCAAGGATGTGGTGTTGCATCACGATCCACGACGCTACAGTGAGCTTTTGCGGTGATCGAGCTCGGTACTAGGCTCATGGGCAGGCTCATCGATGTGATGAATACTCGATTTTCATAGACAGACATGCACTGCCTCTATTATGGACAACATAGGCGCCTAG